CTCTCTCTTCTCCTCCCCCCCCCCCCCCCCAGCCCACCCACAGTCCCCTCCCCACCCCACCCCCCCAGTCCACCCACAGTCCCCTCCTCACCCCACCCCCCTAGTCCACCCACAGTACACTCCTCCTCACAGGTAAGAGTTCCCATGAGGACCCAACATAGTCTGGCACAATAGTTTGGGGCAGGGCCAGGCCCCTCTCCCATGCATAAAGGCTGAGCATGGCATCCCACCATAGGGAATGGGCTCCAACAAGCTAGCTCATGTACCTGACTTGTATCATGTTCCTACTGCCAGGGCCTCTCTGATAGTCCAAGCTTCACAACTGTCTGCCACATATGGAGGGCCTAGTTCAGTCCCCTGGAGTCTCCATAGTTGTTGGTCTAGAGTTCATGAGTTTCCATGATCTTGGTTCAGCTGTCTCTGTAGATTTCTCCCTCATGATCTTGACCTCCCTTGCTCATATATTCCCTCCTCCCTCTCTTCACCTGGATTTCCAGAACTTGGCCTGGTTCTTGGTTGTGGATCTCTATGACTCATTCCATCAGTTACTGGATGAGGACTCTATGATGATAATTGGGGTATTCATCAATTTGATTACAGGGGTAGGCCAGTTCAGGCATCCTCTACACTATTGCTAGGAGTCTGTGTTGGGGTCCTCTTTGTGGATTCTTGGGAGTTACTATAGCACAGGTTTCTCTCTAAGCCCATAGTGGCTCTCTATTAAAATAGATTTTTTAATTATCCTTCAATAATACTAGTAATAATGATAGGTAAATTGGAATTATTTTAATCATAGGGAAAATATCTTATATACTTAAGGATAGTCTTCAGATTGTGACAATTGACCATCTAAAGAGCCAATTCTGGGTCACATTAAAAGGCCCTCATAATAAGGGACTATTACTTTCTTTGCAAAAATGTATTATGTTCCCAAACTGGGCTCATGTGTTCCTATAGCATTTCCCTACTTCTGTTTAGTGACTGAAAACACTTACAAGACCAGTTCACGGCAAAATCCCATTCTAATCACAGTTGTTCTTTCTCTTCCAGCCACCAAAGGTTAAGCCTCTAAACTCCTTATCTAATAAATGGGGCTCCTATTTTATTGACTCAGTCTCAAGACGAGGGAATGCAGAAGACTCTTTGGTTTATACGTGGTCCTCTAGGAGAATCAGCACCTACAGCACCATTGCAATTCCGAGCCTCGAAGCAATTGCAGGTAATGCAGGATACCTGGGAAGCCTCCCTGTCAAAGGTAGTAGCTGTTAAATCCTAACTGTGTTGTCTCAAAAGGAGGAGTCTTCCAAGACATTGTTGGTTTTTCCTTTATATTTGAGATTATAATTTAATTACGTCATTTCTTACTTCCCTTTCCTTTCCTTCCTCCAAACCCTCTCATACACCCCTCCTTGTTCTCTTTCAAATTCATGGCCTCTTTTTTCATTAATTGTTATACACACACACACACACACACACACACACACACACACACACACACTCCTAAATATATCCTACTCAGTCTGTATACTGAGTTATTTTTAGGGGAAAGAGCTTCTAAATATGGCAGCCTGACACACACACTCCTTTCTGGACCCAACTACAAAAAAAAATCTGTTTGAAAAAATTGGATACAAGTTGGGAGAATCACCAGGACAAGATGCTTAGGAAGCCCGGTAAGATGAACATGGCTTTGGGCTGCTTTCCCCCAAAGAGTCCACTGAGGTTGGGTAAACTTTTCAGTAACTCCTGTACCTTCTAAGGTAGGAACTGGAAGAGATAATGGGCCTGGCCAACTCCTGCAGTCAGTCTCTGCTGTAATGAATTAAGGCAGAGACCACATTTTCACAGGGACTGAAGCTCAGCATCTATCTCTTCAGGCCTGCCTTTCTTATGCTTTCTCTCTACACCCTAGGAGAGAACTCCACAGGGCTGGCTTCTCTCAGAAGAGCTAATGCTCTTGTCAAACAAAACTGAAAAAAGCCCTGTTTCATGGCTGGGAAGGGGGGCAGGGGTTGTACCTTATTTGTTCTGATGTGGGAGACACTTCCTCACAATGTAGCATGGTAATCACATTCTTGGGAATAAGTTGTGTCTCCTACACACCCCTGGCTTGATTATGTCAGCCACAGACTGGGTAGTTAGACACCATTGCATTACTTACCTCAGAATAAGAAAGGCAGCTCGAAGAAAAAGTGTGATGGCCGTGAATTTACACATGCGAAAGGCAAAATCCTTTAGGATTCAAATCCTGCTGATATCTGTGGAAGTCCCAGGAGCCATTCTGTTTCTCTGTGTTGCTTTACAGGGTGGGAATGTATACATTTTGGTTCACTTCATTTAATCACTCCATAATTGGGATAGTATGGCTGATATTGTGTATTCGTGGCAGAATTGAAGAGAAGGTTGCTACAGTAAGCAAGATCAGGAGAAGGGAGTTCTTTGCCATTTTGTTCTGAGAGTCAGCTGCCATCAGTGACTTCCTACAGCACATGTAACTGTTTCCTTCTTGCTGATGCAATTTTCTCATGAATCCCTAATTTGGTGATCTTTAACTTTAACCTTAGTTTACCTCTTCTATACGTGTGTGCGCGCGCACATCCACTTTCACTTTTCTCCTTCACAGGCCTGGATCTCACCAAGTAACCAAGTAGGGTGGGCTAGCTAGCTGGTCAGCAAGCCAGAGAGCTGTCTATACCCACGTCCCCAGCAGTGGGGTTTCAATGTGGGTTGTGGGGATCCAACTCAGAGCCACCTCCCCAACCTTGGGTTAATATTTTTTTTTATTTTCTATTCTTTTTAGTGCATTGTGTATAACTATGTGTACACACATATGTGTAAGTCCCATACAGGCCAGAAGAGGGCTTTAGATACCATGGAAGTCAAAGGCATAGGTGTTGGTGAGCTGCCTAACATTAATGTTGGGATCTGAACTCTGATCCTCTTGATGAAGCAGCAAGCAGTGTTAACCCCTGTGTCATCTCGCCAGCTCCCTGATTTCTTTTCTTTTTCTAGTTCTTCTCCTTCTTTGAGATTTGTTTTTATTAATTTAAATATGTGTGTCTGTGTATATCTGTGTCTGCTTGGATGTGCACTGGCATGCAGGTGTCCACATAGGCATCAGATCCTCTTGGAGCTGCAGTTACATCAGTGTGAGCCATTTGATGTGGATTCTGGGAAGGGGAGGCCAGGTATAGACAGCTCTCTAGCCTGCTGACCAGTTGGCTAGCCTGGGGTCCTCTGTGAGAGCAGTATTTGTTCCTAACCACTGAGCTATCTCCAACCAACCCCACTTTTTAAGATGATGGGGGGCAGGGCAGAAGAGGGCATCAGACCCCTGAAACTGGAGACCCAGGTGTTTGTGAATGACATTATGTGGATGCCGGGAAGCAAATCCAAATCCTCAGGAAGAGCAGCTTTTAATTGTGGAGCCACCATTCCAGCCCCCATATTTCTTTAAAAAAAAAAAAAAAAAAAAAGATTTATTTATTGTGGATACAGTGTTCTGCCTGCATGTATCTCTGCAGGCCAGAAGAGGGCACCAGATCTCATTACTGATGGTTGTGAGCCACCATGTGGTTGTTGGAAATTGAACTCAGAATCTTTGGAAGAACAACCCATGCTCTTAACCTCTGAGCCATCTCTCCAACCCAAGCCCCCATATTTTTTGTTTGTCTTTATTTTTGTTTTTCAAGACAGGGTTTCTCTCTGTTGCCCTGGCTGTCCTGGAACTTGATCTGTAGACCAGGCTGGTCTCACAGAGATCCACCTGCCTCTGCCTCCCGAGTGCTGGGATTAAAGGTGTGTGTCACCACCACCTAGCACCTCCATATTTCTTAATAATAACAAAGCTTTGTTGTTACTATAAGTAGCATTGCTGTTTTGCATGTTACTTAGTTAATGTCATTCATATTTAAATACCCAGAATCCAGGGTAAATGATGTTTACTGTGTTACAGGTTTTCCTGTTCACAGTAAACGTGGCTTTCTCTGACATCAAGAAAGCAATGTTTGCTCTTCATATCCAGTGGTAGTTTTTATCTGATAAAGATTAACTGCTTGAGCCTTGATGCCTCTCTGTAGCACCTAATAGAAAGTACAATTTGGGCAGAGTTCTGGGGATTATATGTAGTATATGTAAATGTGATTTGGCAAACATCATATTGTAAATTTTAATACTTACCCTATACTCTATAACCTTGGTGCCAAGCTGTCTGTAGCACAGGTTTCAAAATTACCGATAAAATAGAAACAATGAATAGTTTTACTACGACTTTTGTTTTGACACTATAATTACATCATTTCCCCTTCCTTTTCCTCCTTCCAAATTCTCCCATGTATCCCTCCTTGCTCTTTCAGAAACATGGCCTTTTTCATTAATTGCTGTAACATCCATATATGTATCTACATATATATTCCTAAATACATAACTACAAACTACTCTGTCTGCATAATGCTGCTTGTATGTACCTGTTTTCAAGGTTAACAGTTGGGCACTGGATAATAAGTGCTGTGCTCTTCCCTGGGCACTGCCAGGGAAGAGCCTCTCAGTACCTCCCAGTGCCTCCCACTCCCAGCATTCCCTGTTATCTGCAGTTCTTTGTGTAGTGTGGAAGCTTCAGGGTCATTTTCCCATTCACTTTAATGTAACTATTATTGTTGTCCTTGTTCTGCTCATGAAATGCTGAATTTTAATCTGTTTGTATTTATGGAAGGACTTTGGAGCTTATAAAACATTCATTTTTTTTCCTTCCCTCCTTCACAGAGTTACCCCTGGACTACAAATTTACAAGATTCTCTACAAACAGTTCAAAAACAGCTGGTTACTATCCATTGGTTCATTATACCTTGTATTCTCAAGACACAGACAGTAAAATAGTATTTACTGAAAAATGAACCAACCGTACGTGCAACAGACATACTGTTGAAAATGTTAATTTTCAAAAACTACAGGTGTTTTATAGGAACAATTTTTCAATGAAAATTGACCAAATGGGTACTTGTTAATCTGTCTTTTTAAAAACATGTATCATTTTATATAAATCACTTTAATGTTTAACAGTTCTTGTTATAGTAAAAATTTTAGTAACCTAAACTAGAAAAGAACATGATTAATATTTTCTATATAGTAGTTTTGAGGATTCTCCCTAGATGATAACTAACACATATGCAAGCATATATTTATACATCTCCTTAGTCCAACAGTTTCCAAGCCTGGTCCACAAACCAGCAGAGCAACATAGATCTTCAAAATGCACATTTGAGTGCTGTGTTCCAAACTTCCTGAATCAGAAGTTTCAGGAGCAGGGCCCAGCAATGGCTTTTGAACTAGCCTACCATTGAATGTGGTTCTCAACTGTGATTGAGACCTAGTGAGTACACCCTGTGCTATAAAATAGATTTGTATGGATAAATACAGCTGAATATTCATATCTTTCCTATGTTCATATCGAAAAGTTTAACCAGAATTGATAGCCAAACACGAGTCTAGTAAAACTCCTTTTTTTTCCCAAGATATTGAACTTTTTGCTATTTCTTTTTTTCTCAAAATGCACAAATAAAGAGACACGATTTCTTGAGATAATATAGCCTTATCCCTTAGTATCAATTTTTCCCATTAGGAAGAAGTTGAATTTTTACCTATTAAACTCAGTTTCAGCTTTGTCCTTGGGAAGAGAGAATACTAAGTGGCTTAAAGAAGCACTCTGTGGAGTGTTATCAGTCCACTCCAGGTCAGGGTAGGTGTGTCCTCTGTAGGTTCAGTTAGTTACATTAGTACCATTTGCATCAGATCATGTTCACACAAGATGTTTGGATTCAGTTGACGTTTGTAAGTTCCTGGCCCCCTTTTGCCTGTTAACCTCACTCTCCATAATAGACAGGACTAGAAAACATTACTGTTATGTTTTCTTAGAATTTAGCATATTAACATATGCACTGAAAAACTATTTTTTAAAAATTTGTAAATGTTCAGATAGATCCCAAGTGTACTATGAGGATGCATGTCTCAGGGTAATTAAAAGGATAACTTTTTTTCTTATCATCCATATCTCTGATGTTGGTCAATAAGTATACATACACAGTGATGTATTTGATATCCAAAATGTCATTTGAGTGTTATACTGAGCACTCACAATCAAGCTTAGGGCCAAATAAAAGATGCTGTCTATTGTATGCTTTAAGTAGAAATTTCACTTTGCTTTAAAATAAAGCTATTTTTCCCTATGGGAGTTTCTTGTGTTACTGGACAAGAATGCTTATTGCATTTGTGTGTGTGTGTGTGTGTCTGTGTGTGTGTGTGTGTGTGTGTTTCTTTCCCTCTACATGCATGTCCCAGGGATTAAACTCAGGTCATCACACTTGGGGTAAGTGCCCAAAAATATGTGTTTCATTGCTTATAAATGATTGTTGATATAAGAATTGAGAAGCCCAAATTTTAAAAATACTTTTTTAGACCACTGAAGAATATGACGAAAGTAATTTCAGGTGGAAAGTCCTTTCCCAGTTCCCACTTGAAGACCTTGACGAGGCACCAGCAGCTTATCTGACCTCTCCTTTTCCATCTTACAGAGGAGTCAGAATTTGGAGCACCTTTCCCCTTGTAACACACCCACCGGCTTGTCACTGCTGACTCTAGTGAGTGCTTCCTTATTAAGCTACATTTAGATTTTATGTCCTGGTTCATACAAAGTGCCAGTGTTTCTAACTGAATAAGGAAGATAAACATGGGGCTGACAAGATGGCTTTGTGGGTAAAAGTGCTTACTGCCCAAGTCTGATCACCTGAAACCCAAGAAAAGGTGGAAAGAAAGAACCGGCCCCACTTCCATGTTCTGTCATCCCTCCACGTATGCTGTGTCACACATGCCCAGATACACACAATGATAAAAATATTACATTAAATAGTATCACATAAATTAAAAAGAGGGAGCTGGAGAGGTGGGTGGCTCCAAGTTTAAGAGTACTTGCTGCTCTTGCAGAAGACCTGTCTTGTAACTCCAGTTCCAAGGGGTCTGAAGCCCTCTTCTGGCCTCCTGGTCTCTATAGGCACCAGGCACCCACACATAAAATGATTAAGTCTTTTTTGAATATTAACAAAAAGCTGTTTATCATTTCTATGATATCATTGTTATCTATGTGTGTGCCTGCTTATCTGTATGTGAAGATGTATGTAACTGCCATGGAAGCCAGAAGAAAGCATTAGATTCCCTGAGGCTGGATTATAAATGTGAGCCACTAGATGTGTGTGCCAGGAACCAAACTGGAGTCCTCTACAAGAGCCACAGTGCTCTTAACCACTGAGCTATCTTTCCAGCCCGTGTTTCTTCCTTCATAGTTATATATACTAAAAAGCATGGAACTTTCTAACATAACCAGTGTGTTTTTTATGATAACTTAAGGACCTATACTGATTTTTTTTTTTTTTTTTTTTTTGGTTTTTCAAGACAGGGTTTCTCTGTGTAGCTTTGGAGCCTATCCTGGCACTCTCTCTGGAGACCAGGCTGGCCTCGAACTCACAGAGATCCGCCTGCCTCTGCCTCCCGAGTGCTGGGATTAAAAGGCATGCGCCACCAATGCCCGGCTTAGGACCTATACTGATTTTTATCACTTATAATATGGTTGTCATTGGAAAGATACTCTTTGTGAGCCACCCTTGCTTCCATTTATGCTAACAGCTCCTCCCTCGGTCTGAGTCTTATGGGGCTTAAAATAGCCTCTGTAAGAAACATCATGGGGTCTGTGAGTGCCAAATAATCTCCCTAAACAGTGTGCTGCTTTGAAAGAAGTGCTCTGTGCTACATACCTGTAATCCTGCCACTTAGGGGGACAGAAGCAGGACGATCAAGAGCCAGAAACCAGCCTGGACTACACACATGGTGACACCATCTCAAAGGACAAAATGGTTAATAGGAACACCCAAAATATAAGCATGTGACTGAATATATCTAGACACACTTAAAATATTTCATAACTTCAGTTATGAGTGATGGTTTTCCCAGCCACTATTCCATAAAGGTTTAGAGGCTAAACACGTCTGCATTATCTGTGTTAAGAAAGGTATGTATGCTAAATGGTTTATGAAAATGAATAACCAAATATTTTAGCCATCTAAGCAAAAAAATTGACAAATGGACCAAGATTTCTGCTTAGTTAAAAACTATCAAGTAGCTGGATAGTCTGAACTTGCTGGCACCTGGCCCATTTCCTACATGCAGGTGTTGCTGACATTGATTCCTGGGCTTGGGAAGAGAGCTGCGGTTTCTCTTGCAGGTTAACCATCTGTTGCAGCCTCTGCCTTTTTCCTATCCTAGATGTAACCAGAGCATACCACTGTACACTGCCATTCCTTTATTTTCAGCTTTAGTCTAACAAAGGTATTCCTTCTTTTGATGAGACAGCGCCACTCCCTCGCTGCAGGGTAACATGGCTTCTGCTCTGCTTAATCTATTGTGAAATTTAGACTCTGACATCCTATCTACGTCACTTGCCAAACAGCCGGTTCATTCCTACAGCCCTTCCCCTGCTCCATTCCCTTGAATTTATTTTTTTCTTGCTCAGTTTTAGGTCTTAATTTCCTTCTTTTGATACAGTCTTAATACTAGATAGATAGATAGATAGATAGATAGATAGATAGATAGATAGATAGGTCATAGATGATAGATGAGTGCCATGTATATACCATATATACATCTTGTATCAAGGCTATATAAAAGGATATATATATATATATATATATATATATATATATATATATAATCAGCCCAGCTGCCTGTGAGTTGCTTTGTAGCCCAAGCTGGCCTCATATTCCAGCTCCTCCTTCCTCAGGCTCCCCAGAGCTGCAGTCACAGATGTGTGCTGCCACACCCAGTTCCCCTAGTTATTCTCTGTGCAGCCTCAAAATGAGTTCAGATAGTCTCCCACCTGCTGGCCAAAAAATAATAATAATTTTGGTCTGCTCAGTTCATGTTGCCCAGTGAACAGAAGTGAAGACCTTCATCACTGCCCAGCCTGTATTAGCCCAGACAGCACAGAGCCTTTTATTCATCTTTATTCATTTATTTCTTTTTGGTGAAGACAAGAAACATAACAGTAACATAGTTTTCCTTCAAGCACACAGGAAAAGACAAAGGACTAAGATTCTCATTTACTGTGATAGCAATTCTAGTCCCCACACTGGTTAAGAACATAATGTCAAGTATTACTACAGCAAGAAATACCAGTAGGACAAGTTACATTTTTCCTTTTGAAATCACTTTTACAAGACACAGCAACAGTTTTCAAAATCTTCAGACGTCAAAGATCACATTGTGCGGATTGTGTTTCTAAGAATACAGCTATAGATGGACAGACACCAGAATAAGTTAATCTAGTAATGAATATTCACAGGAATCTTCATACTGCAAAGGACAGAAATTCAAATGTTTGCACTTGTTTCAATTATAAGCAAAAGGCAGGCTTGTAAACATCAATTCTGCCAGTCAGCTGACAGGGAGTAATAGGGTTTGGTCAAGCATAATGGGATAAGGAGTGCACACCATTGATCTCCCACAGACAAAGGTCACTCCTGGAATCTGAAGGGAAAAACCACCCAGACTTACATCTGTTTTTAAAAGATCTATTGGTGCAGTTGAGAATTAGGAAAAGCTATAGGAAAATCCTCCAAGCATCCCTTTTAAATCCCAACCCATCTGATCTCCCCATTCCGCCCTGGAATGTGCCTCAGGGAACCCTGCCCCCAACCCTGCTCCTGCAAGTCATCACAGCCGGCCTAGAACTCACTCTGTAACATGCTCCCTTTCCCTCTAGTCCTCTGCTTAAATTCCCAGCCTCCACGAAGGTATCCAGATCTCCTGAGACCTGGAGGAGCTTCCGACAAGTCCTTTAAGGCAGAAAGGGAATGGATGAGGGTGACAGCTGCAGGCTCAGAACTAGGAGCCTCTGTCACTGCTGTGTACCTACTGGAGCATGTCCTGTAAACCCAGACTCCTCACATCCCCCATCCCTCAGAAGAGGCTTGGAGTCTCCCACAATGCACTCTACAGCCCACTCCCTCCTTTGTTAGGATGGAAACAAGGAAGGAAATTCAAAAACTGATAAAGAAGGGCCAAGGTCGGACAAACTGAACAGGAATGACACACATGGCTGCTCTCTGATCATTCTACAGGCTGAGGCCCAAAGACCAGGCGGCTTTAGAAACAGGTGCAGTCATAGCTGGTTCGTTCACATTCTGCAACACGGAGGTACAGTCTGTCATTGAAAGTGTTCTTTCTCTTCTCCCAGATTCTCAAACTAGAGCTTAAGAAATACACAGCGTATGGTAGAAAGGGTTAGGAGGGAAGAGTGGAGGTTGTCTCCCTTGACATTTTCAAATGTTGCTAAGAGAAGTGTGAAATAGTGAGGGCAGCAAGAGATTTGGACACTACAGTACCTTTTTTTTCTGCCTGTGAACAATGGGGGAGGGAGGAAAAAAAAAACCCTGCTGCCAGTTTTTTCTGTCTCTGGCTGTAACTGCTTCAAAGAGAAAAGAACAGGGAAAAAAAAAAGAGAGAAGAGTCAGTGAGAGAAAGACACAGCAAACCCTGTGTGCCACAAATGATTTCTAACCACCCTGACCTAGGCAGCTTGGACTTAATCAGAGTGGGTGTGGACGAAGGAAGAGGGGGGTTACCTAACAAAGTTGCCTGGATTCGGAATAATTTATTGGCTAGGGCTCAGAAGAAACTAACTGCTAGAAGGGAGCCACTCCAGTTTGCCTTGGGCACTGCCACATGTGACTACACATCCTGCCCAATAGCCAACTGAGTCGTGAGCAATGCTACATACTGTAAGTGATCCTGTGTGCTGCCTAGGAGCTTAGGTCATTAGTTCCTGAGGAACAGTGTTGGCCTGTGCAAAGCTCAACCAGAAGAGAACTGGTGGGCAATTGCACAGGTCTTCATACTCACCAGTAGCTGATCACGATGCACAGTAACCAAAGGTACAAGACCAATGTGGAAACATAAAACACTCCTCGACTGTTACTTCACTCATGACTAGTAGTCACCCACCAGCCTTTATACTAATAACAAGCAGGGCAAAGAGCAAAGGCCCAAGAAGACAGCTAGAATCAGTTGGAATGTCCTGTTGGGCTGACGGCTGGGTTGGGATACAGTTCCATCTTGCAGTGGTGAAAGTCACACTTCATCACAGTACATAGACATCAGGGACACAGTATGAAACCTGGCTAGTTCTTGGTAAGGATGTGTCAAGCTTTCTTGTGGTAGAGAACCACTTTTCAAAACTGGAAGAAGACATGGTCACAGACAGGAACCAAGCCATGCAAAGGAAGGCAGTACACACTACAGCACTGTGAGCTTGGCATAGAAGCAGTTCGGAGGCCATGCACTTGGAACACCATTAACACTATGCAGAATGTCATGATGGCCTAGAGAAAGAAGAGCACAGACTTGGAAGCCACAGTCTTGAAACTACTGGAGACTTAGAAGAACCAAAGGACACAATCCAACAGGAAGAGAAAGCAGACAGAAGGCTGCATGCTGCTAGCCAAGCCGAGGAGATGGTAGGACTCTCCTGCAGGAGCTTCTTGAAAGGGCAGAGTTTAGCCAGACTGGAACCTGAAGGACCTGGGACTCTCCACTGGCTGTCTTGGTGGGACTCGAACTCCTCTGCGTGGCCCATCGCCCATCAGATAGTATTGCAGGGGATTGGACCATAGCTCCCCTTTGATAATTTCAGCTATTCTGTCGAATTCTAGGAGGCTGTGGTCTGAGAACCAATTGAAGAAACTGGGAATCGTGTTCCCCTCACGATTCCTGTGGATATGGGCCTGGGGTTCTTGGCCCCGGTGCCAGCGGATTGGAGTAGAGAGCGACACCACTCGACCGGAGGATCTGCGCTCATATTCCTTGACCAGCCCCTCGTTTCGGAAGTAGGGGTTGCTTTGAAAGATGAACTTAAACTTGCAGCCTGCTCTTGGGTGCTTAAGCTCCTCCACCTCTAAATTGATCATGTATCTCATCATGTCTTCATCTTGGCCACTGATCATTGGTGACAGCTGGGGGTGGTTCCGAAAAGCGGTGACCCAGAAACCTGGGATATTTTGGATGATGAAACTTCGGCGCTGCATGTGCAGCCTTCTCATCCGCCCGAATTTGCGTTCCAGCTGGAGGAAGGCCCTGTCGGCCTGCGCATTTACATTTGACAGCTCTTGATCGATGGCCTCCAGCGAGTCCATGCAATTATTGATCTTCGGGGGCCTAGGACGATTCTCCTCCTTCCCTCCTCCAGCTACCTTTTTTTCTTTCGGTACCCCCTTCTTTTCCGGCATCGCCGCCCCTGCTTCTCCCTCCTTTCCCGCGGGCGCAGAGATGGCGCACTTCGTCGCCATCATTTCCTTGGTCTTCTTCACCCCCGGCATCATCTGAGACCCCAGGCCCACGGCACCACAGGCTTCCAGAGCTTTCGGCCCAGCAGGGCTGCGCGGCCCTCCAAGCTGACAGCCATTTTTATTGCTGTCATCAACTGCCGCAGGGGCTGAGGCTCCATCCCCGCCCTTTGATGGAGACAGAGCATCCTCCAGCCCCTCTCCGGCCGCCTCAGCACCATGATTCTCAGACACTGCAGGGCAAAGCGCAGGTCCGCAGTGCTCGGAATCCGGGGGCGCGCCTCCCTCCGCACCGGCCTCACCTGCAGCCTCCATCGCCCGCGCTGCTGCGTCAGTTTCCTCGCAGAGCCCCTGATCCTGATTCAGATCCAGATCTTCCCGGGCAGGGGCAGGGGTCGTGGTGTTAGTGAGAGGGAGCTCATTGCCCTCATCCAGGCCGCTCATTTTGGAAGATGTCAGCCCTGCAGAGGAGCCTTCCTTGTCCTCTGCAGACGCAGCGCAGCACCGCAGTGAGTGTTTAGCTCCACCCCTTTTCCTTCAGGGCTGCTGCTACCATGGCAACCTGTGACGTCAGAGTAGCAGCTGCGGCTAACTGTAGCGCGAGAATTCGCTACCCAGGTAATTATGCTTGTCAATCAAGTGTATTCTTTTTGTCTTTTTATAAGATGCTGTAAATTTAATCTTCTCTGGGACATTGCGTTCATTTACATAAATGGATGCAGAATTATATTAATGTGTATTCGTAAATCTCTGAATTAATTTCGACAGTACCTAAACGCAATAAATTAAAAAATAGGAGCTATTGTCTAATAAAATCAGATCTCATCGAGCTCCTCAGAAATAGAAAAGCGAATTCACCATCTCATAGGCCTTCCTTATTTGGGACACAGAGTCATGGCGGTTACTGAGGAATTGCGCAGAATCTGATTTTGAAAAGGAAGTGTCGTTACTGTTTCCATTTTCATGCAAACAAGACAGTCAAAAGATACATTTCAATTTCTGTAACCATTTTGATGTTTGTATACATTGACCAACGTTTATGAAGCAATTGGATATTTATTCACTTTTAAACGAATAGTTTAAACTGCTCCTTATTTACAGGTGGCCACACGAATGCCATATGCACAAATTTAGCCCTTAGGTATTTCTGGAGGAAATACAATCTCAGAGGACTTTAATTTCTAAAACGATGCATATTAATGCTCCTTTGTCTTGGGTTATAATCTTAGTTTCTGCTTCATGGATATGAAGCCAACAAACATTTGCCCAAATTTGCTTTTGTAATAGTAGAAACAATTATCACTTTTTTTGACAGCTGAATTATTGTCTCTTTAAAGTAGCTACTTAAAAAAAAAAAGAAAGGTCATGCATTTAAGTCAACTTAGAGAATTTATTTGTAATCACACTGTCTCTTAGTTTGTTAAAATTCTGCATATTTAATGTTTCAATTCCTATTAGAACAAGCTCTTTACATTGGGGGATTAATTGACTCTCCCCCAGAGTATGGTTATGCTCAAATACAACTCTGGAAATAAGAGTTTAAAGAAAAATAGCATTCCCCCAAGAACTCTAGTGAGGAAAGTGGTGGTACTTGGTTCAACTAAGACTGGAAAGTGATGACAAAGTCTCTGGTGAACAATGAACGGAATATCATTCAGTTTGATTTTTTTCTTTTTAATCCAAAGTTAACTGTCCCTACTCAAAGACAGGATATTCAGATTGACCTCTTCCTGCTAGAAAATAAATCAATTGTCCAAATAAAATAAAAATGCGCAAACAAGATTAGTTTCACATACAGTGTGTTTCACCATCGATGGTGTTAGTGTAGATGAATCAGGAAATTATTCTAAATGTGCCATATATTCAAACAGTGTCATTTCTGGCTTCATGTGCAAAGTGCTGTGCATGCCTGAAAACGTCTTGTCAATGGGAAGGCTTAACACTGGGTGATAATTTTATAGAAGGAATGGTCTCAGTGACAAGCATCCCTGAAGTTCCTATAAATGCCCACACACACTTACTGTAATAACCATAATTAGTCCCACAACTAAGAAGTGGTAAACACACATTCTGGTTTTGTTTTTTGTTTGTTTGTTTTAACACTTGTACATAAGCTATTTCCATTCCTGGTCCCTAGCTGGGAGGAATCAGCCTTTAAGATAATATTAAAAATCTGGCTCTAACTTTGGAAATCAGTATGGCAATTCCTCAGGAAAATGGGAATCAGTCTACTACAAGATCCAGCAATTCCACTCTTAGGCATATACACAAAAGATGCACATTCATACAACAAGGACATCTGTTCAACTATGTTCATAGCAGCATTGTTTGTAATAGCCAGAACCTGGAAGCAACCTAGATGCCCCTCAACTGAAGAATGGATACAGAAAATGTGGTACATTTACACAATGGAGTACTACTCAGCAGAAAAAAAAAAACAATGGCATCTTGAAAATTGCAGGCAAATGGATGGAACTAGAAGAAACCATCCTGAGCGAGGTAACCCAGTCACAAAAAGACAAACATGCTATGCACTCTCTGACATATGGATTTTACACATAGAGCAAAGGATTTCCAGCCTATAATCAAAACCACCAGAGAAGCTAGGCAACAAGGAAGACTCTACGAGAGACATACATGTCCTTTCCCGGGGAAGGGGAAAGGGACAAGATCTCCTGAGCAAATTGGGAGCATGGAGGAGGGGAGTGGGAACTAGGAGAATGAGAAAGGGAGAAGAAGAGGGGTGAGGAGGACATAAGGGACCAGGAAGGTTGTATAGGGGGAAGAATAGAGAAGAGCAAAATAAGAGATACCATAAGAGAGGGAGCCATTATATGTTTAAAGAGAAATCAGGCACTAGGGAAATGTCCAGAGATCTACAGGGATGACACCAACTAACAATCTAAGCACCAATGGAGAGACTACCTTAAATGCCCTCTCCTGATAATGAGATTGATAACTAACTTATATGCCATCCAGGAGCTTTATCTAGCAGCTGATGGAAGTAGAGGCAGGCACCCACAGCTTAACACTGAACTGAACTGGAATCCAGTTGCAGAGGAGGATTGATGAGCAAAGGAGTCAAAACCAGGCTGGTGAAACCCACAGAAATAGGTGACCTGAACAAGGGGGAACTCTTGGCCCCCAGACTGATAGCTGGGGAAACAGCATGGAACTGATCCAGACCCCATGAATGTGAGTGTCAGTGAGCAGGCCTTGGAAATCTATGGGGCCCCTTGTAGTAAATCAGTACTTATCCCTAGTATAGGAATGGACTTTGGGAGCCCATTCCACATAGAGGGATACTCCCTCATCCTAGACACACAGGGGAGCCCTGTCCCAAAGGATATGATAGACTCTGAAGATCCCACATGGAAGGCCTCACCCTCCCTGGGGAGCAGAAATGGTATGGGATAGGTAGGGTGTTAGTGGGGGGAAGGGGAGGAGGGGAGGGGATTGACATGTAAAACAATCTTGTTTCTAACTTAAATCAAAAATTTGAGAAAAAATCTAGCTCTAGTTTGTCAGCATTTGACGTAGAATTTTCTCTATTCTGAAGAAAATATTTATGGCAATTTTAGATCATAAGTTCATTGACATAACTGTGGCATGTCTTTTCAGCATAAATTCAGTATTTAAATTCTACTATAAAGGCTAAACTATATAGTCCTTATTCTACTTAACCTATAACTATTAAAATTTTTTCTTAGACTTTTGTATTTATGATAGTTCCCTGTGATATTTTCCATTAAAAATAATAAAACAAAACTCATGTGCCCTTGCTTTCTCCAATGCATAGAAAGAAAGAAAGAAAGAAAGAAAGAAAGAAAGAAAGAAAGAAAGAAAGAATGAAAGAGAAAAAGACCTGACTGGATGACCTCCCTCTCACACCTGGATTGGTTATGCAAATACACTCTGTTATTTTGATTTTTTTAATTGTTATTTCGGTGGTAGTGGTCGCACTGGGATTTGAACTCAGGACCACAAGTAAGTGAGACAAGCTCTCTACCACTGCGCCAGGACCCCAGTCCAAAACATAAACTGTGGAGTCAAGTCCTAGTTGTGCTGGTTAACAAATTGGTTGGAGTGGGTAAGTTGTTTCACTTGACAAAGCCACAGTACCCTTGTATAAAATGAACAAAATAACATTTACATACAGAACTATCATAAAGAAGGAAAAAGGTACCTGAACTGAGATATGCAAAAGACAACTGGGCCATTTTCGTTATTTTTATACTAAGAATACCTATAGTAAATAGACTATATTGCAGGCAGTACAAATATCAAATTCTATTATACAACAACTACAGGCTATAGCAGTGTATAGAATGAAGAAAATAAGTGAAAACTTGGGAAAGAAAAGAGTTGAGTTTCACCAAGAATGCAAGTTAAATGATCAAAGATTAGAAACCAAAGTACTTAGCCACAATACTCCTTTCTCATTGATTGTTTACCAATGATTCCAGACACGTGTGATTTCTGGCTAATTAGGAAGAAACGGCTTCATTGTTGGAACTAAAATGTTTGTTTGTTTTTTTTGTTGTTTTTTTTTTAACATCGTTCCATGCACTAGCACACAGTGGTACCAACAGTGACATGGGCTTGGGAGAGTTGGCCCAACAGCATGGGTGCAGGAGAGCCAACCCTGCCCCTCGCATGGGTGACACAGGAGAGCTGGCTTCAACTGCTTGGATGTGGGTGAGCTGCCCCCACCTCTTTAACTGACCTACTTGGAAGAGCAGGGCCTGTCCCTCACCTGGGCAGCAAAGCAGGCCTTAGGACCCAGGACAGCTGGCCCCATCTCTTGTTGATGCTACTGGCTGAAAAGATGGTTTTGCCCCTCCTCTGGGCAGTGTGGGAGAACTGGCCTTGGTGGAGACACTGGAGAGCCAGCCCCTATGACATGGCATGGGAGAGCTGGCCCCACCCCTCACCTGGCAGAAGGGGAGCTGGCTCTGGTAGTGTGAATGAGGGAGACCTGGCAGGCTGACCAATTTAACTGCCATCCAGGCCCAGATTCAGAGCTTTGAGCTGGCCCACCCGACATATTCCCCATTGAGGAACTGTTACAGCAAGTAAAGGGACCAGCCCTACCAATCCATAATGTAGGATCATTCCATGCCTCAGTGCTACAGTAGGGTATCTGAGAGTTTCTCTGAGGGTCCAGTATTGATGTTGTAGCAGAAGCCAAAGGCCTTGAACTAGCCTAATGACTAATTGCAATAAATATTTGAAAGAAAAGCTGATTGGGCAAAAGTATATGTGATACATATGTGGTACTTGGCAACTTGGAATGCCACTACAATGAAAAAATGTGTGATGGAGATGCAGGAACTCCAAAATGATGCAGCTGATACAGGGGCAGGTCATTGCCCAGAGGGGTGTTTAGGCGGGAAGGAGGCTCCAAGGATTCGGGGTGGATATGGATATGGAAGTACTGGGAAATGAGCAGAATTGGGGTATGTAATGTGAAATATCAAAATAGTCAATAAAAATTATGTTTTAAAAAAGTTATCATTCCATTGATTAAAACCAAAAATGTACACATTTTACATTTCCTTTTGTTTTTGTTGTTTCCAGATAGGATTTCTCTGTGCAGCTCTGACTGTCCTGGAACTTACCTTTAGACCAGGCTGGCCTTGAACTCAGAGACCCACCTGCCTCTGCTGGGATTAAAGGCATGTGCCACCATGACCAGCTCTAGTCTGCATTTCTTAGTGGACAGCTTATTCATGTTAAAGTATAAGTTAGGGAAAGTGCAGCCAAGCAACTTCATCTGCCCAGTAAACACCAGAAGTTACATTTGTAATGACAAGAAACAGTTACAGTCTTCTAGGATCTGGAGACACTCTATTTTCTTTATAAACATAATCCCCTTTTAAAAATGTAATCATAAGCAGATTGGGAAAGACATTCAACTAAGATCAGACTATACATATTTAGAATTTCAGATATATTTTATGGCAAAATTAGAAGCTGCCACAATAGAATACAAGTGTCTTAGCTTGAAATGAAAATGAATACAGCCTCTGTTCCTCACATCTTGGGTAATACATACACTTTTTTGCCGAACCTATATTGAAAATATGAGCCTATATATGGAAATAATGACACGGAAATAATGGAATTACAAAATAAGAGCATACAGTAAATTGTTAATACAGCTACGAATGTGATTAGAATGGTTTCAGTTTTATGGTGCTGTGCATTTCCAGTTATGGTATCTTGTATGTGCAGACAGTTGAAGTGGTACCATCATATGTCACATGTGCCCCTAGTGACTTGGTGAGTGACACAACAGTAGTTATCAATATTAGTGTAAACAATAGGCATCTAGAGCTGTTTAGAAGAAAGGAAGATATTCTCATATGTTTACTAGGGGTTCTGGCACCTCACTGAAGATATTCTCATATGTTTATTAATTAGGGGTTCTGGCACCTCACTGAAGATATTCTCCTATGTTTATCAGGGGTTCTGGCGCCTCACTGAAATCTACCCATCACCCACCCATCATGCACTACAGTCAGCCCTTTGCTTCAGGCCACACCCACATGTGAGATGTGAAAGGGTCCAACCCTTCCTATTTTCTCATCAATTACTTTTCATGATATAAGCAAATACAATCTCTTGTCGATTATTTTTCAATTCCCACACAGCCCCTACAATATCGAAAAATAAAAATTATGGACAAAGGAGGATTGTTACAAAAAATTAAAAAGATGAATTCAAGGCACTCAGCTTCAATTGCAGGGAATTTTGTACAAGTTTTTAAAGACTTAATTTGAGAAGACAGACACTGTGTGCAAAAACAAGCCATCAAATTCACTGTGTTCCACTGAACTGAAAAAATAAATCTGTGTTTTCAGCAGAAAATTTGTTTAAGTAGCAGCTCAGATGGATTCAATTACAAAATCTATTTATGTGTTAGCATATTTATTGGCAAAATATCAGAACCATCTACTGGTGGGTGGTAAGTTTATTAAATCATGAATGAAACATGGTTTGATATCCCCTCTAAGAGTAATATTTCTAAAATCAGTTTGTCTCACCAGACTATAAACATGCAATTTTAGGAAACTGGGTGGAATTAACTATGAGAAGTAAATTTTACATTTTGTGCTTTAATGTTGGCTGCCACACTGATGCCACAAACACAGTTCACCTTGCCACTGTGGTTAAAGGTATTTATGACCATCATGTTCCTGAAGAAACAGCTTTTCAACTAGTTCAAAAGATTTTATACCAAGCAGTAAAAAACAAGTTAAAGGGATTTTCTTTGTCCATTGTCAACATATCTAGTATAGTCACTGATAATGCCTTGGAGACAATAGATAAAGGAGCGGGGTTGTAATGTAACAGAAGACAGTACAACCACTTTCTCAAATTCTTGTTTGAACAAGTATATTGTTACCAACTTGTGAATCTTATAAGAGCCAAGGAACTAATCAGAACCAATTCAGGAATTCCTCTAAAGTGTTGAGGTTGACTTTGGAGACATCTTGTCAAAAGTAAGATGGCCAAGTTAAGACCAAATACTGAAAATATTTTATGGTTTAGGACATGTTATCAAGTTGTTTTTGGAAGCAAAAGCTAAATTTGTGCCAGGTAATAATAATAATAATAACAATAATATGAATACTGGCTTAAAGACTTTTTAATAATAAAAGCTAGCTTAGAGATTTAATATTTTTATACTTAAGTGGGTTAAGTCTGTGTATTCAAATGAAAACTAACTCATCAATGCAATGTTTCTAATTATAATAGAAATACAAATGAAACTGGAATTATGACAAGCTCAAATTAAGAAAATTTTATGTATTTCAACACATTGGCTGAACAGTTCTGTGCACAATAAAAAAAACATGTAGCCTTGCTTTTCAGTTTGATATAGCTTGAAAACAGATTTCAAAATTTCTAGGGAAATTGTATTTTGGTAAATTTACAACTCTATTTTTAATCAACATAAAATATGTACAATTTTCAAAGGAAACATATAAATCTTCAATCTAACAGTCAATTTAAGATAATTCTTAAAGCTGGGTAGTGGTGGCACACACCTTTGGTTCCAGAACTCAGGAAGCAGAGGCAGTCTGATCTCTGTGAGTTCAAGGCCACCCTGGTCTACAAAGTGAGTTCCAGGACAGGCTCAAAAGCTACAGAAAAACCCTGTCCCCCCAAAATGCTAATTTCTGTCTAATATGACCCAGAGAAGCCAAAATAGTTGAACATCTCAAACCTAGAGCATGAGCAAACATGAGTTTCTCTTTCAGCCTAGAATGGGACATTTCTAGTAAGATCCATACACTATTCATACTGCTAGCCTGGAGCTACCCTTAAAAATGTACTGCTTTTCCCAGCACTCAGGAGTCAGAGGCAGAAGGATTTCTGTGAGTTCGAGGCCAGCCTGATCTACAGAGTGAGTTCCAGGACAACCTCCAAAGCAATACAGAGAAACCTGTTTCAAAAAACCAAAAAAAAAAAAAAAAACCCTTTTTAAAAAAAAAAAAAAAAAAAAAAAAAAAAAAAATCATTGCTTTAGGGTGATAGAAACAGATTGGAGCTGAAGATGTCAGGGAGCTGTCTTGTAAACATTGCAATGCTCAGAAATGGAAAGGAAGACCCACATTCTTGGCAGTCCCCTAGGGAAAGTACATATGAGTAAACCAATACTATTTACAAGGCAGAGGACCCTGAGCAGGCCTTATGACAATGACCAGGTGATTGCAATCTCTTAATTTGTAAGTGAAAATACTCTTCAGTAAGGTCAGTTTTGGCCTGGTACTAACAAATGAAAATTTAAAAGCTTAAACAACTATTATTTCTCTGGTTCTTTTATCTTTTTTAAAACTTTCTTATTTATTCTCTCTGTCTTTCACATCATATATCACAATCCCACCCACCTCCACGCCCTCCCCAATAAAACAAAATAAAATTTAAGAGAAAAAAAGGGGGGGAAGGTTTCATGGAAGCCGTAGTGTGACACAATGAATCACACAGTAAACCCCTTTACCCACATATCTTTACATGCAATCGCTCATAGCAAAGAATCATGGGTCTGGTTTGAGGTCCCTGGTGTCTGCTACATAGTGGGTGCTGGGCCCTCACTGGGACTCTTCCTGTCCATCCCATTGCTGCCTTGTGTCATGGAGATCACTCGGCCCTGGGTCCACAGGACCAGATCCTTGCCCACCCCCCAGCCCCTCTGTGTTCCAGCAGATGGGGTAGGTGTTGGAGTGGGCCAATGCAGAACCCTGGTTCTGGGCCTGGGTAGTTGCAAGGATGGTAAGCTGGCCGGCTCCCCGCCCCCCATCCCATCTTCACCACCAAGGTGAGCTCTCCAGCATTGCCCTAGCTAGTTCATCCCTTGTAATGATGAGCAAGGGGCGGGACCATTTCTCCTGATTTCACATTCTCAGAGTAGGTTCTCCCATACTTAGACCTTCAGGGCCAGCTCTACTGTGTTGCCCAGGCGTGGCATTCTCCCGAGTGCTGCCGCTGATGAGGGGCAGGGACAGCTCTCCTGCTCTTAATGGCCTCAGGGCCAGCTCTCTCACCTGCCTCAGGTGTTAATGGGTAGGGGGCAGGAGGGGGCAAGCAGGAGTGGGGGCTCATCTCTCCTTGCCCATGCCATCACCTGACAGATGAGTAATGGGCACAGCTCTCCCATGCTCACAACTTCAGGGCTGCCTCATCCACACCTTCGCAGACAGGGTCAGCTCTGTTGGGATGCCCAGGCAAGGTGCAGGGGCCACTTTCCCTAGTGCTGCAGTTGGTAAGAGGGAGGGTCAGCTGCCTCACCCACCACAGATGACAGGGTAAATGGGGGGCATCTTTCCCTCACCTTCACCACCACATGGCAGAGAAGGGAGGTGTGGCCAGCTATCCCACTCTCACACCCTCAGGGCTAACTCATCTGCACCTCTGCCAACAGGGTAGATTCGACTGTGCTATCCAGGCAAGGAACAGGGCCTGCTTTCCCGAGTGCTGCAGCTGATCCTGCTATTATGACTTCAGGGCCAATTCTTACCTACCTCAGCCATTGATGGGGGGGGGGGGGGGCATCTCTTCCCTACCCATGCTGCCATACTGCAGAAGAGGGGTGGATCTAGTTCTCCCATGTTCACGTTCTTAGGCAAGCATACCTGTGCCCATGTCAACAGGGCTGGCTCCAGTGTAGGGCCCACTTTCCCCAGGGCTGCAGCTGGTAAGGGGGAGGGCCACCTGCCTTGCCAGCTGGAGGCAGTATGGGCAAGGTGGGAGAGCATCTTTCCTTTGCCCCAGCCACCACACCACACATGAGGGAGGTGGTACCAGCTATGCCCCTCTCACGTCCTCAGGGCTGGCTCACTCAACTCTGTGCTGCTCCAATGAAGCACAGGGCCTGTTCTCCTGAGTGCTGCAGCTGGTGGGGGGGAGGGTCAGGTCCCCCACCTGCTGCAGGTGTTGAGGGGCAAGGGGAGGAGGGCACCTTTCTCTCACCCACACTACAACAGGCAGATGAGAGGGGCATGACCTTGCACCCTCAGGGCCAGCTTGTCTATGCCCCTGTGAACAGGGTCAGGTGAGATGTAGGGCCCTCTCTCCTGTGTGCTTCAGCCAGTGAGAGAGAGGCCAGACCAGTTCTCCCTAGGGTTACAGACAGTGAGGGGCAAGGCCAACTCTGTGCAGCCCAATCTCTGATTCTGGTGTCATCAGGAGCCATGGACGTCAACAGAAATTATGACTCCCAAGGAAGTGAGGGGTTTGGTGGTGCTGCACAAATTTTGTGGAAAAAAGTTGACATCTCAGTAAGCACTTGTTAACTGTCAACATTTTAACACAACAAATCAATGACAGTAGCAACTATGCTTGTATCCTGGAAGATACAGTATTGCGCTCTCTTGTCAGACCTCTGGGATAATGTTGTGTCCATTTAAGAAATTTTGTAATTCCATAATCTTGTCAATTATACAAACCTATTAAGGCACTTAATGGTCAGGGTGAAAAATAAAACATCGAAGAGAGTGCTATGCTTTTATTCACCATCTTACATATAAAGGGCAACAAATATCTTCATAGTACAGTTCTAATATGACAGAGCACTTTTACAACTATTGTGTAATTTAAGAGGCTACCAAGAATATCAAGTCACATATCTATTTTTCCATGACAACAGTAATTGGACAAACTTGATAAAGACCAAATTATCTAAACTACGTTTCTAAGAATTTAGATTAACATTGAAAATTTTCATGAATACTCATTTGTCTCAATAGTGTCAAGACTATTGTTCTTCCAAATGGTTTCAAATAAATGCAAAAGAAAGTAATTTAACTTTCCTAGTAAATAGAAACAAGTAGCATTTTACTAAATGTTGGTAAAATATGGGCACAATATTACTCTTTCAGATACATCAGGTCACATATAAAAAGAAGAAAATAACCCAAACTTGTACCATTTCTTTAAAGAACCATTATCTAGGCAACATTTAGTACTCAAAACTCCCTATAATTTTTCTGTTGCAATCCTGAGAAAGTATTTCTCTTTACATCACCATTGGACTTGAAAGCTCTTAGTCAACCTTGTCTTCATCTTCAGCCCAATTTTTATCTGACTTAATCTGGTCCTAATCCATTTCAGTTCACTTTCCCTGCTTAGGGTACCCATCACAATCTCTTTAGTTCTTCCATACATTATAAGGAAGATCTCACCTGTTTCCACCTAGCTCCATCTCTCTATTATCCTGTTAGGCCTTGTTAACCTGGCTGGGGGGTTGGGAAAAAGAGAAGAGGCAGCCAGAGTTCTGCAGCCTCTCTGGCAGAGCATCCTCTCTGGAAATGCTACCAGTCTAAATGGACTACAAATGCTGATCTTGCAGATGTTCCGGAACTACTTCTTTTTATTTAAAATAACAAGAAGGTGGAAGAGGGTGAGGAACCTTGACAAGCGCCAATGGAGCTTGGTATATGCAACAGCAAGCAGTATTAGAAGGTGGTGCAGAAAGAGTCACAAAAACCACACAGAAGGTGGCCCACTTCTGTTCTCCCGCAATATCATTAATTCCCAGCAATTGTCTGCAAACTTGATGTCCATACTGCCACATGCTCAACAGGTAAATAGAACGGGCTCCCTAGACAAAGGTGGCAGCAAATAGCTAACAGACTGAAAACAACAGGGTCCAAGCACTGTAAAAGCAGTGTGATCTTCAGGATCGCGTGTTAAGCTTAGAAAGGGTCTGAACCACGACGAGGCAGCAGACACTAATACAGAACAGCGTAGAGGTCATATGACAGCAGCAGCATGTCCACAGTCTTCATCTTGAGGGCAAGAGAGACTATTCAAACAGCAGATGCAGAAGCCACAAGGAAAGAAACACCAAGAACACTGCATACCGTTGCCTTTGCTCAAGCACAGGTGAGAAGAGGCCTGCTCCAGCTGTATTTTCAAAGGCAGAGGTTAGCCTGACTGGAAGCCAAAGGGCCTGGGAATCTCCACTGGCTCTCTTACTGGGCGACGTCTGGGTCTGCGGATTCCGTCACGTGACAGGTAGTATTGCAGTGGGTTTGGCCACAGGTCCTCTTTGATGATCTCAGCAATTCTGTCGGATTCTGGAAGGCTGTGGTCTGAAAACCAGGTGAAGAAGCTGCAGATGAGGTTCTGGTTTCTGCGAATGAAGGACTGAGGCTCATGTCCCCTCCGCCATACGATTGGAGTGGAAAGGGACACCACTCGACCGGATGATCGAACTTCATATTCCTTGACGATCAGCTTGTTTCGGAAGTAGGGGTTCCTTCGAAAGAAGAACTTGAATTTGCAGCCAGTCTTCGGGTGTCTGAGTTCCTTCACCTCTAGGTTGGTGACGTACCTTAGCATCTCTGCATCCTGACCCCTAATCATGGAGGACAGCTGCGGGTGGTTCCGGAAGGCAGTCATCCAGAAGCCTGGGATGTTCTGAATGATGTAGTTCCTCCGTTCCAGGTAGTGTCGCCGCATCCGCCCAAACTTCTGTTCCAGATGTTGGAAGGCCCTGTCGGCCTGAGCGTTCACAGTGTCCAGTTCCTGCTGGATGGCCTCCAGGGGGTTCATGCGGAGATTGATGCCCAGATGCCAGGGCCCGGCCTCCTCCTCTAGCATCTCCATGCCCCCCCCCGCGGGCTGCCGCTCCTCCTCCATCGCCGCCTCCTCTCCTTCCGCCGCCCCCGGCCACG